GCTGTTTCGCTTTTTGCCTTTGGGGAATAGCGGCGGGCGTCACGGCTACTGCTGGGCCCTTGTTCTTCGTCGGCAGCCTTGCTGCGTTTCGGCTGCAGCAGAAACGTTGCAGGCGCTGAACACGAGCAGCGCCCGTTTCTTGCTTCGTGGTTGTTGGGGCATGGCCATCTCTGCATCTCAGTGTTTCTGTTCGCTGTCGGGGAGGACATCGGATGTAGCCAGGGGTTCCGATTTATCGGCTCTACATGAAAGATAGTATTGCTTCATTTGACACAAGGGAAGAACGGCAGAAAACTGGAAGGGAAAAGGAGAATGATGGATGTAGTTGTGTTAATAGCAGCCCCGTGTTTACAAGAGATTTTGTAAGACTTGCCAGCTGGCGACCTAGTTAGCTCTTAAACATTTCATGTGTTCGTTTCATGTTGAAATGATGGTTTCTTTCTGTAACTTTTCAACCGCAGTACGAAAATATGGGGAAAATACGCCTTTGTTAGAGAAATGGCATGGAGAGGTTGCTTCGTCTTTAAGTGTGGCCTAGTTTTGTGGTAGTCTCAGAAAAACCAAACAAACAACAGATCATTCCAGTAAAAACTCTGCTAGCTTTTCCCCTAATGTGCAGGATAGTCTTGTTATAAATGAAGAAATCTATGTAGTGATGTTAGTTAACTTCTTAGATGAGCTTTGATTGGCAAAGCGTTCCATCCACGCCATTCTAATCGCTTTCCAGTAAAGAACCAATGGACTGTGAGCGTCCATCGGGGGTGACGGTGGCCAGTGATGAAACAATCCTTGCAACATTGTAATGCAAGCTCCGCCCATGAATGGTGCATGTATGTAAGAGGTGGAGCTTGTATTATGTTGCAACACTCATTTCACCATTATGACCAAACAGGTTGTAGCTCTCCTTCTTACATACACCTAAGTTCACACATAGGCACAAGTCTATGTAGGCGACATTTTTTTCTTGGAAAGAAGTAGAAGTTAGGAAGTTAGGTTTGTAGGTCCTGCATGCCCTTCCTAGGAAAAGAGTAAGTGGAGAAACCATGGATGGTGTACGAAAGAGAGGACATTTCAACAGGGAGGAAGACTCAAGTATCATGACAGGAGCTGGGTTTACCCAAGATACACATACACATGGTTTATTTAATACACCAAAAATGCCTACGTTCATTCTAAATGCTAAACTGGAAGCAGACAAACCACATGATGGGACAGTATTTGTATGAGCCAGACCGTATATTAATTGAATCCTGGGCTTGAAATACTACTTGAATATGAAATGTACAGTAGTTGGCAGCATGTACTTTTCACATGGAATAGCGGTGAAGGAAAAGTGGAATGTAGATACAGGTTCTGTAGTTTCTTGGACAATGGGCAGGGTGCCCCAAGAATTGAGACTATATTTTTAAAATTCCGTTTAGGGACAGTGTAAATCTGATCACCCTCCAAAATGTTACTCATCATTTGCAGACTTAAACTTTCTCCTCTGGAAGAAAGAATCTTCTAAGTTTTTGCCTTCTGTCACATCTAGCTTCTACACTCCAGCTGAATGCAATGGACATTGGACTCTAACATTTCTGGATTTTTGCAGAGAACTGATGATGACTGCGAGCTAAGTGCGTCTGAGTGCTGATGTGTCAAATGCCATAGCAATTAGTGATCTGATCACTGAATACTGTAATAACACGGAGTGCAGCTATGGCAAAAATGTAGAAGTACAGAATAAACAATGAGGTCAGACCATAGGAGAAGATGGTGCTCAGTAAGTCCATGAGATTGAGTTTAAAAAGATAGGTGAGACTGGAGCAAAACACTATCTTTTCTCCAGGTCTCCTTCTATTCTTCTATCCTATCTATAGATTCAGGTACAGTTAAAGAGAAAGATCACAAAACAATGTTGCATCACTCCATGGCCAACTTAGATTTTATTTCTTGGAACGAAACAGAACGAGAGCAAAATAAAAAGTTTCGTAAAGGTGGCATTCTGCCCTGACAAGTAATCAAATGCTCGAGGATGCATATTGAAGAATATGATGATCACCAACCTTGATAGAGTTAAGTCATCTATCCCAAATGGTTGCACACTGTTGTATCTTGATGTACCTTGTAGACACCTTCTGGAGAACAGAAGAAATAGTACATGTCACATATATTGAGAGCATATACCAGTGTTTCTCAACCTTGGAAACTTTAAGATGTGTGGACTTCAACTGCCAGAATTCCCCAGCCAGCA